GAGCTGAAACTATACTCAATAATAGTGTAAAAAGAGGTTTTAATTTTCAATTAAACAGCTCCCATCAAAAGGTGTTAAAAGTTTCAATTTTTCAAAAAGCAGCCCAGCTGTCGCAATCCAAATCCTGCAAAGTCTGGATTACATTAACTAAATTCCAAGCATGACTAGACTGCCTTGCAAACCCTATTTCCCTGAAATTGGAAACAATTAACATTCTGTTTATTCATGAGATTAAAACTGCTGAGGTGTAAAATGGCAGGTGTAGTGTTTAGTACTTTGCCTGAATACCCTGTTGAGGAAAGACAAAGTCCTTTAAACTAGGTGAACTTATGTCAATGCCATTTAGGTTTAGCTTTTCTTGATAAAGCAGGAGTCAATTAACTTACTACATTTGCAGAAATTTTATGATGGGGGCAGTAGCGGTTCAGTGGTAGAATTAATGCCTTCCATGTGGGAGACCAGGATTCGATTCCTGGCCAATGCACCTCATGCGCCGCAACCAACCTTCTGTCAGTGGAGGCCTGCGTGTTGCTATGATGCTGAACAGGTTTCAGCAGAGTTTCCAGACTAAGATGGACTGGCAAGAAAAGCCTGGTGATTACTTCCAAAAATCAGCCAATGAAAACCCTACGGATCACAATGGTTCCATTTGCAACCAATCATGGAAGACTGGGCAGCAGCTAACAACAACACACAATGGTTAGGAGCAGAGATTCTCAAATTAGGTGGCCTCAGTTAGGTGCCCTGTGTTTATATCTTGGCCTATCCACTTACATACTGTGAGACTTTAGGCAAGTTTTAACCTCTATGTGTCTCATTTTCCACATCTGTAAGGTTGTGATGAGAATTCAATGTGGCAGTACATGGAAAGTGAATAGAAAAGTGACTGACACATAGTAGGAATGCAAAAAGTGTGAGTTATTACACTTTGTGAAGACTATGTCTGGGTTTTGAATTCTAATGCCAACTCCAAAGCTTGGGAATATTAGATTTCAAAAGGAACATTTTGGTTAAATGGAAAACTTTATAGGCAAGGATACAGACAGAAGGTAAGGTACATGCCAAAAGCCACACAGGAGGTCAGTGGCAGGACTGTACCGGAATTTAAGATCTCTAATTCCACTCCAGTGCCCTTAGGATGCACATTGAGTGAGTAGGGGGAGGTTGAGCATTATCAGCCATCACTGCAATTCAGAGGCGAGTAATTCTCGCTCCCCACTGGGAAGGCTGCTCACAGCAGGACTTCTTCTTCTAGATCTATAAACTGCCTATGAATTTATGCCTCTTCTCCAGGCTTATGTCTCAGATCACCCCTCTGCCAGGCTACGGAGAATTCAAGACTCTTGCAAGTGTTCGAAGCAAGCATTTTCTTCATGATACATCTCAGCAATGATACAGGTCATTTCTCAAAGATCCCTGCCCTCATTCAGTACTGTATTATTGCCACAGCACCTACTCTTTTGCCACAACGGGCAGGCTTGGGAACATATGACATTGTAAACATCTGAGCTTGTGTTAAGAATACTCATTTTCACACATACGGACACCTCAAAGTGGAAAACAATATTTGGATGTTAAATGGAAGATCAGGATGCAAAAATAAATAATCCCTTAGGATTAAAATTTTGATCCAATAATCACTTTCAAGATGTGGTCATATTTTATAGTTACAGCTAGCCTCCATTTCAACCCCCAAACAAGGGGATTTTCTAAAACGCTTCTGTGAGAAGCTCTGAAAGGTTTAAGCTGATTTTAAAGAAACAGAGCCAAATTTATCTTAATGAGTGTAGCAGTCTATAGTGGAAAGACTGAACACTCTAGGAGACAGAAAGAAAGTTGTTTGGGTTCCAACTCGGCCAACAACTATTTGTGTGAGCCCAGGCAAAACATTTACCTTCTGCTTCTGTGTCTGAAAAACTGGAAAGATAATCAGAGAAGGAGTGAAACCAACAACTTTCCTTTTGAAGGTGGAATTTACATCCTCTTTGTGTTTCTGAGATAAAAAAACTGTCAGAATCATATACTCAGTGCTGTAGCTTCCCACTGAGAGGATGACCCTAGGTTGAGAGCTCTTTACTTTGTTCTTTAGAATATTCACAGAGATGGGGAAAGGAAGGCCCCTACTGGGAAAATATCAATACACAAAACTTTACATACAGCATGTGCTCAGCTATGTCAAATGTGTGTGTGTGTGTGTGGTTGTGTATGTACATGTATAACATATATTTGATGAACACACTTGGTGGTTAAAAATATGGGTTTTGGAATATGGTTGCCTGGGTTTGAATCATGATCTTTCAACTTATTAGCTGTGTGACTATAGACAAATTGCTTAAACTCTCTGAGCTCTGGCTTCTTAGATAAAATGAAGACAGTAACAGTATCTCTCTCATAACAATTAAAAGATTCAATACATGTAAAGCTCTTAGAACAGTGTTTGGTGGTAAGAATTTAATAAGAATTAGTTTTACATTATATACACCTACACGAATGCAGACAAATTGACAGGATTTTTATCAAAATATGGAAAATTCAAAAAGAAAAGTATCTACAGCAGAGCGCTTCTATGCCCTCTGCACCCAATTCACATAGCCCATGCAATTTTTCTGCCCTATCTTGTCCTCCAAAAATTAAAAACTCTGTAATGAATCTGTATGATCTCCCAGTTACCGTCAAACTTATTGTCCATTTTGTGCCTAGAAAAGGCTAGAGAAATAATTAGGACATGGAGCAGAAGAGTAGAGGGGTAAAAAAGACAAGAACTAAAGAAGAGGTTGAGAATAGAGAGGTGGAAAAATGCTAGACAAAAGCAATATACAACTATATAAATGGATGAAGAATTCTGTGTAAACTGTCTATCATTTTCACACTACTATTAATATTATTCCAAGGAAAATATTTTCTCCAAATCATGGCTGATTCACATATAACTGATTTTTTGTCTTCACCTCTGTGTTTCTCACAGCAGATCTTGGATTCCAAGAAAAATCATTTGTGACAAGAGTCTACAAAGACTGTTGCTATTGTTAGGTGCTGTCAAACTGTTCCAACCCACAGTGACCCTATGTACAACAGAACAAAACACTGCCCAGTCTTGTGCCATCCTCACAATTGTGGCTTTGTCCAACTCACAGCAACCCTGTGTGCAGCAGAACAAAACACTGCCTTGTGCTGCACCATCCTCACAATCGTTGCCATGTTTGAGCCCATTGTTGCAGCCACTGTGTCAATCTATCTCACTGAAGGTCTTCCTCTTTTTCACTGACCCTCTACTTTACTAAGCATGATGCTCTTCTCCAGGGACTGGTCCCTCCTGATACTTTTCAGAAAAATCAAAACTTGTCTCACTTTCTCTCATATAACTTAAATTTGACCTCCTGCTTTTCCATTTGGCATTCATCTTTGCAAGGTTAACTCTGAACCAAGGTGCCACATTTTCTCTCAGAGGGAATTTTCTTTCGTCAGAAATTCAACCCCTGCCATGAATGTAACAGTGGGATCATTTTGCCATGGGAAGAGGGCAGATCAGTCTAAGAGTGAGCACTGAAAAGCATATTCAACTGATTTGCTATGTTCTGGCTGAGGGAGCACTCAATAGCATTTTCCTATTATTTTCATCAATATAGAGGGATATTCAGTCTGGGTTATTTTCTCATGCACTTGGCCATCAACCCAGAAGACTGATTTTATTTATAAAGAGCTTTTGGTAGCTAGCAAATTTTATACACTTTCTTTGTACGAGTTTAAAGATCTTATTTATAACCACTAAATTATGTCATCAGCCCCCTTGATTCTATAAGTGATTTGGATTTGATTTAAAGTTTGAAACCTCTCAGCTTGACAAAATGCATATCAGTTATGATCGAATAAGGCATTGAGTAGCATAATACATGATGAAATATTCCTAGGTAATATTAGATGAAGGAAAAGCATAATTGTTCAAATATATTAATGGACTCAGCCACTGGTAATAGTTCTTGGGAATTCCTTGTGTTTCTGGTAGCTGATCTGATTTTGTGGTAGATAGGAAAATCAGAAGAAATTCCAATGAAAATTCATGGATATTGTGTAATTAGAGGGAGTAGGGAATCATTTATTCATTTGTCTTTTATACAACTACCAACTGCCAAAATATATTTTTGCTACTTGAAATAGTATTAAGAAAAACAGTTAACTTAAAAAAAAAAAAAAAGGAACCTAAGGGCAACTGGGAATCTATTTATTGAGAAGCTTAGTATTAGTCAGAAGTTAAAAGTATCATGTTGGAGTTTTTAAAGAATGTTTTTCTCCAGTCTTAGAACATGGTGGTGCCTTCTGAGACACAATGCTTGAAATGAGTTCTGCTGACAGTAGATGCTCAAAGCAGGAGACAAACTATAAGAGCTGTTGACTCGGAATCAACAAATACTGAGGACACTGACCATAACAGATACTAGTGTTTCCAATCTCCACCATTATTGAAATTCAGCACCCTGAACAAATAATACTCATAAACAATTCTTTTTCTCCATTACCGTTCTACTAAATGTCCTAGTTTAGAGAGAATGAAATCTTGATTTACTAATTAGTCTATGGCATATCAATTAGTCTATGGTATAATGATGGTAATACCAAATTCATATCTACCTAGGAGTTGATGGAAAACTCTTATTCATCTCCATTTTGCTATGTGTAAAACCATCCTTGTTTCTCTACACAAATCAGCTTTTAGTAACACAATGGAAGGAGGATAAAATACTCCAAGTCAGACCAGCATCTGATTTAGAGAATGAAAAACTTTTCGGTTTCCATATGAGCAACGGTAATGCCTTAAAGTTGACCCAACTTTGTTTTTATTTATTAAAAGAAGCTCATTGCAGAGAAAAAGCACATATGATTTATGGTTTTCTCTGTAGAGCTACAGAACTTTAATCCATAGCTCATGAAAGGGTGCAAGAGCAGCTTGAAAATTATGCTGAGCTTAATTATACTTAATGTGAATTATTCAGAAGTGTAGACAGAGACAAAAAATTTATTTCTTACAAAGAAGCTTGACGTTTTAATTGGTCCTTCAGAATAGAGACAAAACAATTTCCTCTCAAGAAAATTTACATCTTCCCTATCACAGCCGCAGCCTCAGCCAAGCAGAACTTCATTAACAGGATTAATTATCACGCCAATGTCTGCTTCACCAGGTGTATGGCCCAGGTGAAAAGAGGAATACAAAGTAATGACTGACATGTCTAACAGATAGGAGTGATTCAAATAGGGGAAAAAATAAGACAGATTGAGCCACCGTACCTTGGTCATTAGCCATTTTGTCAGGGTGTTCCACTGTAGGGGAAAAAAAAAACTATTATTCAACTTTGACAATTCCCAGCAAGGAAGTTGACATATCAAATCAACAGTTTTGTTAACAAGTTTTCATATCAAAGTCAATGCCCTATTGCAATAAAATTGATAAGGAATCATAGGCTAACAGACTATTTCTGTTACAGAAATCAGAGGAACAAAATTGAAGATATTGTCTTTGCTCTACAAATGCATTCTAAAATACGTATTATGTAACACATCCCTCTAAACATAAAGTCAGAATGATCATTATGTAAAAATGCAATCGATCACGAGGCAATTATCATATATTTTAATAAGTTAGGGATGCTATTTCATTGAATTTGATGTTTTAAACTAGAGAACTTAACTAATTTCACATACCCACTGCCATTGAGTCAATTCCAACTCATAGCAACACTGTAGGGCAGAGTAGAACTGCTCCATATGGTTTCCAAGGCTATAAATCTGTACGGAAGCAGACTGCCACATCTTTCTCCCACAGAGCAGCTGGTGGGTTCGAACCGTGAAACTTTTGGTTAGCAGCTGAGTAACAGAATATCATAAATATGGAATAATCTAAATGACTTGATAAATCTTAAGACCTTGTGAAGTTGTTCTCAACTTCAGATGAGTTATGAATAACAGTCTTGAAACTGTTTTTAAATTTTAAAATATCTTTGAAGTTTAAAAAAAAGGGTGGCTTTTCGTCAACCAAATGTAACTAGGTAAGAGGTAAATCGCTAATATCATTGCTTTTCTAGAAACTGTGATATGACATTTTGATCAATGCAGACCTTTGTGGAGATGGTGTTATATGTTAAGCCTGTCTTGATCGGAATTATTTCAACTACATTTATACTTCACAAGAAAGGTCTTTGAAGGAGCCTGGTTAAGTGTGTAACTGCTAACCGAAGGGTCGGCAGTTCAAAATCATCAGCCACTCTACAGAAGAAAGATGTGACGGTCTGCTCCCACAAAGATTATAGCCTTGGAAACCCTATGGGGCAGCTCTACTCTGTCCTTTATGGTCGCTATGAGTCAACTGAACCCACAGCAATGATTTTTTTTTTTTTTCTTACTGTCTTTAAGCTTTGAGTCTTCTAGGCATATTTAATTCAGTTAACTGAACTCAAACTTGATACTTAGGATATTACACTTGCTGGTTTGCTTCTTGTATATGTTCTAGTTAAGTTCACAGAGAAAAATATAACAGCCTGCCCATGAACAGCACCTTTTAACAAGTCAGTTCTCTCATTATGCATGGCCATCTGTATTATTATATAGCAAACCCATCACTATTATTTATAAAACAGCTTAAAGTAAATGTCCTACAGGTGGGGGTCCTCTCTTTTCTAAAGGAGCACAAATCATTGTCAGTTAAGAATGTACAGAATTAAAATACTTAAATAATAATGCTGTTAACAAAAGTCCCTTTCAGATGAACTGGGCTATGTCTAGTCTGTTACATCATAGGAGGACAGATGCTAACACCAGGAATCAATCAGTTTCTTTCATTTTAAAAACATATGTAGACAGATTCTATGAAAAGGATTAACCAGAAAAGGTATATTAGTAAGTAGTAGACTTAAATTCTGAAATGTTAATTGGAATAAGTTATATATAAGAGCACTTATTATATCAAGATTCTATAAACTTAAGTTTTATAAAAAATCTGTATCTCCTCAACGTTTACAAACATTTTTTAACTCACCACATTATCTAATCTATTCTAACCTAATCATAAAATTTTAATTTTTTTCTTGATTTTTCTCTCCCCTTTTCCATTGAATACTACTTCTCAAAGTAGGTTTTAAAATGGCATGGGGGTGGTGATGAAAGGTGCTTTTGACAGGCTACTGCATTATATATACTTTATGGACAGGGATAGGGTATTTAACTGAGATCCTAATGTGGGTGCTGAGGCTGCACAGTATGTTGCAGGAACTGCCTTCCAGGTCTCCAGCAAGAATGAGGAATGATATCTCAGGATCATACATGAATGAGCTATCCAGGAGGTTTAAATGTTTGGTAGCCACAATAGGACACCCTAGAGAAACTACCCTAATCAGCATCTCGTAATTAGGGGAGAACTGTTCAGATGATGTTAGAAAAGGGAAGAAAGCCAACCTCATTTCAGCTCCATTCTTCATTTCTCCCTTTGACTGTAATCATATACTATACACTGTCTAAACCCCTACCCTACTGCCATCAAGTCAGTTCTGGCTCATAGTGACCCTATAGGACAGAGTAGAACTGCCCCACAGAGTTTCCAAGGAGCACCTGGTGGATTCAAACTGCCAACCTTTTGGTTAGCAGCCATAGCTCTTAACCACTAAGCCACCAGCGTTTCCATGCATTGTCTACAGCCTAATAAATTTTTAGGCAGTGACAAATACATAGATGTTATTGTGGATAACCTCATCCTCATTCTTACATTTTGGATTTGTATTTTGTTAGCAAATTTGGACTGTATGTAACTTCAGAAATGTTGAATGTCTCAAGAAAGGTTACCCACTGAAGAGTATTTCCAAACAGGGACTGAATGTGTTCTATAGTTATATTAAACATGAATAATGGTCCCTGTAATTTGTTACGGAAATCATATATTTGGTCACAAATTAATTTGAAGATGAAATCTTCTTCATATTCTGTTACAGAGCTTTAAGTGCTCTATCCTTGGCTGGAGGAAATGCACATTTCAGAATGACGATTAAGGACACGCGGAGGAATAGACCATATTCTATGGATCTTTTACTGCTGAAGTCTGCATTTTTGGTGTAAGAAGTGACTCCTCCCTCCACTTCCATCTCTGGGGTCTATTTTATCAAGAACATTCTTTCTCCCTATTACTAGATATGTCAACATAGAAAAGCCTGCTTCATGGAGGGAACAACCCATGTGATAGAGAGACATGCCTCTTATACATCTTCCCAAGGTACATTAGCGTGTGGGTAGCTTAATGCAAGCCTGGAGCAGATTTTGGTGAGAGATGTATTTACAGAGTCCCACGTGGTCATAGAATCAAACCCAAGGTTCTTAAAATTAACATTGCAAACAAATGCACCAACATGTATGTATGTACATAAATGTATAGTAATATAATCCCTTTCTAATTATAAATACCCTTTTAATTAACCAGTGATTACTGGTTGAGTTTCCTGTCCCTCTCTGCCTCATAGCCAATACAAAAAGACAAAATACTAGTAGAAAATACAGTAGAAAATGTTGCCATCTTTGCAAAGACTTAATCCGAAAGAATGAAGCTTGCAGATATCTGCCCGGAGCATGATTTGCAATGAAACACTTGCTCATTACCCAGTAGACTACTGGAAGTTTCCTCAGCTTCAGGACAACATATAAGCCCTTCTCTCTGTCAAACAAAGTTGCATTCTGATGAACTAGAGGCCTTATGTTTTGAAACAGCTCTGGGAAGTAAACACCTTAAATCAGAGAGCAATCACATGATTTTATGTCTTTATGTAAATTTAGTTCATTGTAGCTTCAAATCTCTTATGATAAGTAATTTATTTGCCTTAGAACATTTGTTATGGTAAGTGGCATGTGAGATGTATGCCTGTACAATGTTGATTATTGATACTGATGGGAATATCAATATTTCTGCATAATTTATAATGCACTCAAGACATCAGAAACTTATTCTACCATACGAGCAGGGTTTATCAAAAATAATCCGATCGACTATTACTGAGTATGACATACTCAGATGATATGAATCATTCAAATCAGGGTATTAGGAAAAACTCTTGTGGACTATTATGATAATATAACAAATTCCTGAATTTGTCCTCTGTTTTAAAAATCATTTCTCAGATGAATTTAGGGCACTTAGGGTAAACGGTACCAAATGAGACAATGAGTTCATTAAACAATCGACAGAATGGGTATCCATTTGGGCCTGTAAATCCTGTGATAACTCATTACTCTGTTCCTTAATACATTTAGATGCCTGAGTCATCTTAAGCCCTGCCTGAGATCTCGTAGTTAGCACACATTGTGAGCATGAAAGTAATTTGGTACTCGTTTATAGATAAAGATGGAGCATTTGCCAAACATTAGTTACATTTTACGCTCCCACAAAATGAATAACCAGTACCTTCTCAACTGCTCATTTGGAGTGAAACCCGATTTAGACATGAAGTCCTAAAAACCTGGATAGATAGAGGTTAGCTTATTCCCTCCTCACCCCTTGCCCAACCTCTACTTTGTCATTAAGAACAGTCACGTGGCTTAGGCTGAACGCTTGTTTGTGCGTTCTTGGGAGACTTTCAGATTAGCAGTTACCAAAATCCAGCTTCTGAATAAATCACTCCTCAGAATTCAAAAGTTCACGTTCATTAGGACACCTTACCTAGGAGAATTGAGAAATAGACTACAGAGTTATTCTCAGACTCTTCCTTTAGGATGCAAACAAGGGGATGAGAAGGTTAATCATCCAAGTGTTTCTAATTTCTCTGTGGTTTGCCATAATGCCTTATCAAGTTTTCATCCTGATATATAGGTATAATGTGGTCACAGATTTAAGAGCCAAGTTATTCTTCTTTAGAACAACACATATCATGCCTTAAATATATATCTTTAAATACCAGCTATGGAACATTCAAATTATTTTAAATTGCCAAATCACAGGGGCTCTTGAAGCCATTTGTCCTCTAGAAAAATAAGACTTTGCTCTGAAATAGTAAGGGCTTATATGAAGGTTATTTTGATGTGATCACTATTCTCGGGCCTGAGTATTTTTTTTTAAGAACATATAACTATCCCTAAGTTGAGCAGCTATTTTTATCTTTGCGAGCTTGTGTAATTTTCTTCTAGTAATCACACTGTAAGATTTTTTTTTTTCCCATGGTTGTTAACTTGGATCTTTAAAAAGAACATCTCAATTTTGTTTGAAATTTTGTCTTGCCATATCAAAATTTCCTCTAATACATAAGGACAATAGTTCGTGAAAGAAAACATTTGAAGTTGGCAATAGTATGCCATTCACATAATTTAATGCTTTTTAATTTTATTACTTTATATGAAATAGATGAAGGGTTTCATTATATTTTGAATGGAGCCAATATACAAGAAATCAGTACAAAATTCCAAAGGGATTGCAAATGGAAAAAGTCAAGGCAAGTTATGTCTGCCTTGTACTGATGGCAGAAAACGTGACAACACAATAGATCTTTCTTTGACATACTGGCTTTGAGCATAAAAAGGTACATTTTAAATTTTCTTTGAATGTACACTGTAGCCAGCAGAGATGGTGTAGGGCAGTTTCTAACACAGACTCCAAAGTGGTTTTATAACAATCCCATAGGAAAAGCAAGGGAAAAAGAGGAAATTATTCAAACCTTTCAGAGTCCTGAAGAGGATGGGATCAGACAGGGGCCCGACTCCTTTAGCATTCCGTGCTTGAATTCGAAAGTAATACATGGTGTCAAGGTTGAGATCCATGATTTGATGAGTTAGCCGATCACCACTTATTGTTTCCATAATCCAGTCATCAATTGGTATGTTCTTGTCCAAGGTATAAAACAAGATGTAAGCTGCACAAATAGATGAATGTGACTTTGTTTAGTGTACTGACTTGCGTGCTGTAGTTCTGCTTCCGAATACCCATGTTTCCCAAGTAAAATTTGCAGTGATTATTATATACTAACAATCTATAAGCTATAGCATTTAGTTTTGCATGTAATGTTTTTTTTCATATTGTAAGGATTAGATAAATAATATTTGAATGTATGGAATCTGAAAATGGAACAGGCCATTAGAAATAAAAAATGTCTGCCACATTTAAAAATGTAGTCTTTCTGCCATCAATAAATCCTAGTTATTGGTTTGCTCTAATGTATCAGCATGATAAAAAATATAAAACATAGATAACAAGTCTTTACAATTTTCATCGTCGTCCAATAATGAAAATAAGTACTATTTATTTTGGCTTGTGCTAACTAATAAATATCCATTGAAAAGTATAAAATGCTGTGCACATTTAAAGAGTTATGCAAATAAATGATCATATTTTATTATTGTAATAACTCTGTGAGGTTGGCAGCGGCTGTATGGCTCCCTTCCTTTCACAGATGATGAAGCAAGGGGAATTACCCAAGGTGACCCAGTTGCTTGGTAAAAAGGCTGAGATGATATCCTCTACCTCCATACTAAAAATCCCACACAATTTCCCCCCTAGTTCCCCTCACCTAGGCAAATAAATATTTCTGAATAGCTGTAGGTGATCTAGTTAGTATCTCAAATATTAATAATGCATGATTTGATAATGCCATTTATTCTCTGTAGTAGAGGATATGTTACTTGAACGCTAGTGTGTGCTCAGTGGTGATAAGCTATTATGTACCAAAACAAATCCAGGTACCGTTGTAAATGTTCATATTCTAACATTATGCTTAGCCAATTCATGAGCTAGCTTTTACTTAAAAGCATTAATTTATAAATTTTATATTACACTGGTCAGATGAAACTGTGGAAGAACTCATTATATGTTCCTTTGGTGCATGAAGATGAGGCTGCTCTCCTCTTCCAAACCTGTACAACGATCTCATGTAGGTCACAAATGTCTCTAGGTCTATTCTTACGCATTGAATCCATTCTTTTTCAATCTTATTCTTAAAAATAACTGTCTTCCTTTGATTTATCTATTCCTTCCTTTTGAGGCTCACTTGTCCCATCTGGATGGAGAACTCTCACACATTGATCATTGACATGATTTATTTCACAGGGTTTTCTGACTCATATTCCCTCCTCTTCCAAAATAACCATACACACTTCCTACATCTCAGCACAAACTCTTGCTCCAGGAAGACTCGTCTCTTTGCCGTTCTTACTCTTCCTCATACACCTTGCTGACACCACTCCACCTTTCCTCACCTCCACTATCCAAATTCCACCTATCCATCAAGGTCTACTTTAAGCCATATTTAAGTAACAAAATCTTCCTCAATTGTGAGCTCTCTATTCTGTGAACTATGCAATATACTTTAAAAAATATGAGAGCATTTATATGATTTTGTTCACTCATTGCTTAATCTCTTGATCCCTTATAAAATTATGCCTTTGTTTAGGGGATACATTTTGGACTCTGCACTGGATATTTCTTCCTTGTGATTTGGTAGGATTAATCAAGGTTACAAACTCTAACATCCGTAAGTCTATTTCTCTTAAATTCAGACCAATGCTTAAAATGTGCATCTATTTTTTTTTTTTGGCTTTCACCTTACTCCTAGTTTGGTGTTTGCCAAATCTGTGTAATAATAGGAATTGCCTGAAGGGTAGGTACAAGTTACAAAATACAAACCTCAAGAAAGGACACATTGAATTAACAAGTGTGGAAGACAAACTCTTTGATGGCCCCCCAGTTATCCTCACCTCCTGGTATTCCTGGGCTTGTATAATCCCATCTGTTTGAGTTCAGGTGGGACTTAAACACTTGCTTCTAACCAACAGAATATATAGAAGGTGATGGAATCACTTCCATGATTATGTTTCATAAGATCAATCGTAGCTTCTGTCTTGCTAGCAGACTCTCTATAGACTCTCTCCTCTGCTGGTTTTCACACAGAGTCCATGTGGCAAGGGTCTGAGGGTGAGTTCTCTCCAACAGCAGAAAATAACAAAATTCTGCCAACCACCTCTTAAACTTGGAGCAAATATTTACTCAGTCAAGCTTCAGATGAGACTTCAGCCATGGTCAACATTTTAACTGCTCTCTTGTAACAGACTCTGAAGAAGAAGACCAAATTCAACTGTTCCCAGAGTCCTGACCCACAGACTCTGTGAGACAACAAATGTGTGTTGTTTAAGTCACTAAGTTTGTGGCAATGTTATGCAGCAATAGATATCTAATACAATAGGTTAAGGGTAGCACCAGAAACCTAAAACCCTTGTAATTCCTGTGATTAAGCAACTTTGGGTCAGGAATCACTGCCTTAGTTGATATATGGGATCTGTATATATATACATATAGGGCCCTGGTGGCACAGTGGTTTAGTGCTTGGATGCTAACTAAAAGGTGGGCAATTTGAAGCCACCAGCCACTCCACAGGAGAAAGATGTGGCAGTCAGTGTCCCTAAAGATTATAGCCTTGGAAACCCTATGGGGAACATCTACTCTGTACTATAGGGTCACTATGACAGAGAATTAATTGCAACGAGTTTGTTGTTTGTTTTTGGTGGTGTGTATATACATATGTTGTTGTTGTTAGGTGCCGTTGACTTGGTTCTGACTCATAGAGACCCCGTGCTCAACAGAACAAAACATTGCCTGCTCCTGCACCATCCTCACATTCCTTGTTATGCTCAAGCCCATTGATGCAGCCACTGTATCAATCCATCTTTTTGAGGGTCTTCCTGCTTTTTGCTGACTCTCTACTTTATCAAGCATGATGTCCTTCTCCAGGAACTGATCCCTCCTGATAACATGTCCAAAGTATGAGATGTAGTCTCGCCATTCTTGCTTCTAAGGAGAATTCTGGCTCTATTTCTTCCACGACAGATTTGTTTGATCTTTTGGCAGTCTATGATATATTCAATATTCTTCGTCAACACCATAATTCAAAAGTGTCAATTCTTTTTCGGTCTTCCTTATTCTTTGTCTAGCTTTGCATGCATATGAGGCGATTGAAAATACCATGGCTTGGGTCAGACGCAACTTAGTCTTCAAGGTGACTTCTTTGCTTTTTAACACTTTAAAGAGGTCTCTTGCGGCCGATTTGCCCAATGCAATGCGTCTTTTGATTTCCTGACTGCTGCTTCCATGGGTGTTGATTGTGGATCCAAGTAAAACGAAATCCTTGACAACTTCAATCTTTTCTCCATTTATCA